GGGAAAGAGGGGGAAAAATATCCCCATCTCCCTCCCAGTAAGAGGTCTGCTTCCAAGTCCCACCATGGGACAGCAATCACAGATTGCTGATAGGATGTTTGATGAACCTCCTACTTTAACATTCAAGGTCCAATAACTCCACATTTCCTCATAATGACCCTACTCCAACTCATTTCTAGCCAGTTTTCCTCCTTTTGGAAACAGTGCTGACAGGCTCAGACGCCCTTGCGGGATTTGGGCTCCTCCCTGGCGGGGTTTTACTGCAGTGGACTTTGCTGCTGCAACTGCACATTCGTAGCTGGCATAAGAAAAGAGGTTTGCTCTTGCCATTGAGCAACAGAAAGTCCCAAGCGACAGAGAAAATAGCTGGACACATTAGCTGCAGTAAAAAGAAGGGGGAAAACAAAAGGAATCCAGAAAGTAGGGGGAGTGCAGGGCCCGCAACAAAAATTTTGGCAAGGAAGCAATGCATGGCTGAAGTCAGTGAAAATCCCATGAACCTGACCTAGCCCTGGGTCACAGTAACTGCTGGCACAAAACACACGCGAGAAGCCCTTGGCCTTGGGGCCTGCTCCTTACCTTGTTCTGCTAAATAGTGAGAAGAAGGCGCTGATCTTTCGAGGAAGGATAAAATCCACCTGTGTCCACGCACAGCTGGATAGGGGTAACTACTGAGTGATTCTTACAGAAAGACTATTTTCCGTGTGTCAGTACTCTGGTGATCACGATGAAGAGCAGCTCCATACCCTGACTCACTTCTTAAAATAACAAAGTAGGGGATAACTTGCAGAAGAGCACAAAGAATTTGTTGGGAGTTAAGAAAAGACCTCAGAAAATTCAGAAGTTTGACATAGAAAGTGCATGTCATTACAGCATCAGCATTAAGTTATCAGTGTTTCAAGTTATCAATACCTTACAGCAGGAAAACTACAGATATCTCGGATAGATCCGTGCAGCAACAACGGGTGAATATGAGCTTGCGAGTGTCAACCAGCATGTGCAAGGAAACCCAGAAGGCTGGCTGGAGATAAATCAAAACCAGAAAGGCATGTTTTGCCAGATGGTCTTTCAGGAATTTCATTCACATGTACTTTAAGCACAGGAGAAAGACTGAATACTATGGGGTCCAACAAGAACATGTTGTCAATCCACACAGTAAATTATATATAACACGTAAGTTATTGTTATCAACGTAACCTCCTGCGACTAGGAACAATCCATAGATAGACTCTTCCCATTTCACACAGAGCTCTTTGGAACAGAGCAGTTCAGTCCTGCTTATTTAACTTTAAAAAGTAGCTGTTTCTGCAGTGGTAGAGATAGGAAGAAGTGAGGTGGGAAGGAGAACAGGAAATATTTATGCCCTTTGCTAAATCATTCAAAGTGGAATTTTGCATTGCAGTTCCATATCCGGGGTAATGACATTCTCATATTACTATAGGAATCCTATTGTTCGGAAATCCTCAAGCTTGGCAAGTCATTTAAGTTAGTTGCTGAAAAAGATTAAATGGCAGCGGAGGCAAAACCTCCAGTAATTTTCCTGATATTAAATACATTTTTGGAAGCTTCACTTTTATTAATTCACATCACTAGAACAAACAAAAATACCTTACAGAAAGAGCTTGAATCTCCATGTCTGAAATGAAGACAGACACGTCAGGGAGCACAATGGTTTAGATGAGAAGTGTGTGTCAGACACAGAGTATTCATACGTATTCTCATTGCTGACAAAACACCTTGTGCTGCAACTCTTGTTACACAAGAAAATACAAAGTGCAGTATTTCCCTGGTGCGCGAGCATGAAAGAAATGGCATTTCAAGTACTTTCCATCTCTGTGGGGAATATGAGAAACTTATTTCTATCCAAGTTGAAACCCTGAGGATTTGTTTAGCCTGCACAGACCTTCCCTTCCCACTGTCGCCCACCTTGGCAGCCTCTGCGTTTCCCACGGGGAGCTCAGGCTCGCACCAGCGCGCAGGTGGGAGATGCGACAATAGGAAAGAGAGGAGCGGGCATGTGAACTTTGTCCTGCTGTATCTCCACTCTTTTTATTTCTTTCCCTCGAATACTGTTTGCTGAACCAAATGATATGCTCCTTGGCAAGGCAGCTGGACATCCGGCTACAGACCAGGGTTTTCCTAATTACAGAGTGCAGCTGGAACCGATTCTCCTGGTCTCAAGTGCCTCAGTGTTTGCCTTGGGCCAACTGGCAGCATGCTCAGATAATGATTCAGAAAAGATGTACTTGGAAATCAGCTTGCTAAAACACAGATAAACGGCAAAGGTGCAGATGCTGGTGCAAAATAGTGCACCACAAGTCTCTGGCATGCACATGACAGCCCAGCTTGTAGCCAGCCAGGATTTCTTACAAAATTTGAGCAGCACTCATGAAAATCATCCTCTTGTTGCCCTATTTCACCAACATTTTGGGTCTTTGCTGGAAGCACAGCATGCAGATTGGTGAGCTGGAGGAGGACAAGCTGGGGTGTTGTGATGGCAGCCAGAATTATACCAGGGCAGAGCTGGAACAGTGGTAGAGATCTCTGCCTCATCCCCATGTTTGGTCTTGAAAGCTACATTTCACTCACTTAATGCTCATACGCTAAGCAATTTCAAATGTATGTCATTATGCTGGATCTCCTGCTCTGTGCTCAGATTCCCACTGACAGCGTCCTGACCAGGCCTGCCATGCCATCTGACCCCGCGAGTGTCTCCTCAAACAGACTCCTCCGGAGTCCCCAAGAACCTCTAGTGCTTCCCTTAAAACACGATTCAGCAGAAGAGCGTTGCAAAACATATCAGCCAACAAGAAAACGGAAAACTCCTCCACATCACCAAACAATGATCTTTTTTGTTGATCCCCAGCCCCTGTTGATCCCCTGTCCCTAAACTGCTGATGAGACAGTATGTCTCACAGAACACTTTCTTTGTGAAATACCTGGAAAACTCCTGAAAGGACATACGTCATGGCAGAAACCTCACCGAGCTCACTGGTCGTGTTCGATTGTGGGAGTCCACAGCAAACCATCGACATGAAGCAAACTGTGATTTGTCATCCCAGAGACGCTGGGGACAGTCTGGTTCCCATCCAGGTTTGGGGCCACAGAGCGTCCCGGCACCTGTGCCAGCAGCAAAGGTGCTGCCGGTTGCCCGGACGCGCTCAAACTTCCTCCTCAGAACTTGGAAGCCAAATGACGCTAATGCCCTGCTCGGAGGGAGGTACACAAGAACTATAACCCAGCCAATAAAAATGTGAAGTCTTTTAAAACATCTATTTTGAGCCTTTTTCTCCTTTTATGCATTATTCCTACTGTAAGTTATCTGTGGATAAACCATATCGTTCAAAAAGACTGAAGATATTCATTTCTACGTTGTACTGTTTAAAACACTGGATTTGTTTAGATTTTGCTGTGGCTTACTTAATTCAGACACCTGAGGAACCCTTGAGGAAAAGTGTCATCATTAAAGATTCACTGCTCTCCCTCTCCGTAGAGGTTGGGAAAGCTTGTAATTCTCTTTTTCATATCTGAAATGAGTCATCCAGAAACCCATCCGGACGTTACAGATATGTCTAAGATGAAAGCCAAGTCAGAATAAACACCAGAGCCAAATTCACTTCTCCTGGCCTTCTTCATATGTCACAAAAGCAATAGGAACAACAGCAAACAAAAACTGTGGAGAGTGCTTTTTGTCAACTTTAAACTAAAATTAAGTAACCAAGCTAAGGTTCACATGTAAAGTACCAACATAAAGGGGTTCACTGGATCTAGAGATAGACAAAGGCTGGAAGTTCCCCCTTGTATCTAAGTCCGTGCTGGTATTAAATTGATTGATAGGGAACCCGCTGCCGAATTTGGTGTTGGCTTGTTGGCGGAGGGTAAGCGCTGGCACAATCTCGCCATCCTTCAGCGATGTTATCCTGAGCCGTAAGACTCGCAGCATGTTTGGAGTGAGC